AAAGGCCATATCTTCAAATACATGGTCCTACCTGGCTATTTGGCCAAATTTCCCTTTTCAAAATCCATGCCACACGGGCCTGAGAAGAGAAAGCAGATACCTCCAATCAGAGTAAAAAAACATTTTGCTGAATAAATAAATATCACATCTCTCAATTTAAGAAAATATTTTATGAATATTAAAGTTTTTAAGAATATAATATAATTTCTTTTTAAGTGGATAGATATAAATAACAACTCAAAAAAATAAATGAATTCAAATATTGTAACTACAACAATTATTAAGTACTAACACTCAAAAAAAATATGTTTATAAGCATACATTTCCTTGATATTGTATCACTCTTTTATCTAAAGTTCTGCTTTCCTCGGACAGAGAAATTCCTCGACACATATTTGCATTTATCAGTCAATCTTTACAGAAGAATAAATCAATCTGGTGAACCAGAAGCAGGAGTAGAAGCCTATGGTACCGGTCAGAACGAAAAACGCATATGAAGCGATCAACATGTACCCAAAATACAACATGCCGGAGACAGGCTTAGTGATGTCGAGTTTAGTGAAGAAGTAGAATGTTGCATAGAGGAAGAGGTATAGAGCCGAAGAACCTGATGTTAAGTATGATCTCCACCACCAGAGGTAATCCTCGCTGCATAACTGGAAGTAGCAAAGAACAATTGATATTTCCGCACAGGTAATGATGAGGATGACAAGGACGATGAAGAGGAACCCAAAAATGTAGTAGAACTGATTCAACCATATCGAGGTGAGAATGAAAAAGAGCTCGATGAAAACAGCTCCGAATGGGAGTATACCTCCAATCAAGATTGAGAAAATGGGGTTCATGTAACATGCCTGTTCAGGGATTTGCCTGGGAATTTTGTTTGTTTTCACAGGATCCTCAATTGCTGGTCTTCGAAAGCCTATGTAACTTCCTACAAAGACTAGTGGTACTGAAATCCCGAACCATAAGAAGACTAAAGCAAACATTGTTCCGAATGGGACTGCCCCTGATGATTTCTGGCCCCAGATGAGTGCATTGAGTACAAAGAAGATGCTAAAGACTGTAGCTGGGAACAGAAAAGCAGTCCTAAGAGCAATTTTCTTCCATTCAGTTCCTTTGAACATCTTGTAAAGACGGGCAGAAGCATAACCAGCGAAAAGCCCCATTAGAACCCAGAGCAATAACATGGCTGTCATAAGTCCACCACGGTTAGAAGGGGAAAGGAATCCGAGTGCAGCGAAGATCATAGTCACAAGTACCACCCCTAGAAACTGTACCCCAGTTCCAACATAGACACAGAGTAATTCCGAGTTATTTGGGGACCTGAACACATCTGCATGGACCAATTTCCATCCAGTTTCTTCCTGGGCCTCCTCCTGTGTCTCGAGTTCATTATACTTGGAGATGTCCCGGAAAAGTGTCCTCAGCATTATCATTGCAACCATGCCCGAGAGGAAGAGAACGATCATCAAAGAGTTTACTATTGAGAACCAATGGATTTGATCATCAGACATAAGAAGGTAAGTGTCCCACCTTGATGCCCACTTCACCTCACTCTCCTGCAGTGCAGAGCGGTGGGATCATCAGAAATTAGTAGGTAAGTTGAAATTTATGGAGGGAAAGAACATTATACACTTTAATCACTTGCAAGTAATGAGAAAAACAAGAAAACAAGAAAAACTTGTTTATTCGGGTGATGAAGATGACTGTTATCTTGCATATGATCAGAAATATCAGTTAACTCATTACCTCAAATGCAACATCATAAGTGAATATGACTTCTTGTTTATCTTTAACTTCTTGGGGAGAATTTGAGGAGGAAACCGTATGCTTTGCATGGGGATCACACGTCATTAGATGAGTATCCTCACTCCATTGTCCTTCATATTCGTGCTTGACACTAAGTGAAGGAGATATAGAAGATAAGTACATGATGCACTACAAACATCAAAAGAATCCTATGAAGTAAAATAGCAAAAAAACTTGAGCCCTAGAACAAATTATTAAGAAATGAGACCTCCCTAAAGAGCCTACCTGAATGGTACAACCTCGAAACCCACGATCCTTGCTGCTTCAGTCTGTTGATCTTTATGATACTTGACAGTGAAGCTCAAGTGATTGTGAAGAAAATATTTTTCATCCTTGCTCTGCACAGAAGGAACAAAATGTGGGTCAACGATAAACCCTGCACATAGATTACCTTGGCAGTTTAGGCCAATAATTTATTTACTTACTCCGCTGTATTGTCCTTTTAGCCCAACATGAAAACCAAGCTGATAAACTGGAGGACTGTTTTGTTCTACCCTTGGAATGGGAACAACCAATGGGAGATTATCTAAGATCCTGCCACATGAAGCAGCAGAATTGTTAAATGTTGATGCTTTAATATAAATTCTTCGGAAATTGGTAAAAGACGTTGGATTTGTTAAATGCAACATATTGACCTACATGTTGACATGATATTCATCTTCAATTTTGTCTTTGAATTCTTTTGCAGTTTTGGCATCAAGTATAAGTCGACAGACTACATTGCACATCTGGGGTTCCCTCATTTTAAACTGATTCATAGACACAACAAGAAAACGTCAATTCCTAACAAACCATTCAAATGGGTCTGAATTCATAAAGGACATAATACCGACTACATAGCGGGAGTTCTCAATGCGATCGCCACGAAGTACTTCTCCAAGATTTTCTCTACTGTCAACTATGGCGTCTGGATGACAGAAAGGAAGAGAATAGTACGAGTAAGGGAGCTGAGTCTTTATAGAAGTCAGTTTGTTGACTTTCACATTCAATGGATCTCCCTGCACCCATTTCAACAAAATAACCAAATAAAGAAAATCAAATGAGTCATGACACTATGACTTACAAAGTGGAAACATACAAGAGAAGAATCAAGTAAATGTAGGCAACAATTTAGACAGTGTAAGAAATTGCAAATTTATACATCTACTAATGAATGAATGCAGAAAGGAGCTATTTTGTAACCCGAGCCTCATTTCTATTTGGAAACTTCAAAATACAATCACCATTTTTTTCTCTCTACACCTATATTTTATCTGCATCCACCATTCAATTCAAAACTTAACAATATTATTCTATACATCCCTAATGTTCTGAAAAGAACCCTTATGTTTACAGGTGAAAAGTATTGCCTATATTGTAGAAGCAATCCTCATCCCTGGGGAATGGGAAGGGATAAAGTATGGTGGTGGCAGAGACAAGTAGGACAGACAGGTTGGGAGTGTTGGGGTGAAGGTGCAGAGTGATGAGATGGGAGGGATGATGGAATGGTGGTGGTGTGGTGTGGTGTGGTAAAATTTACATTTTGATGAAATAATACCTCGTTTACTCTCTACTTCCGAAACAAACCTCCTGAAAAGATAGTGGCATTGGGACTTCTCTCCATTTCAGAAGAAAAGTTGAACTTTTTGTTGGTATATGAAGGATGGCTAATTATCAATTAAAAGGTGGGTCTGAATAGCAGCTCACTTTATGGTTTCCTTCTCTTACTAAGTACATTGATTGCAACATAGTTTTAAATACTGCATTCTTCATCGACAGAACTTTCAGAAGTTACTTGATGACCATTTGTAAGACAACAGGTCGAACAATCGAAGTGCCAGCTCGGCTTAGCCAAGAAGGCCTTAGAGTGCATAGAGTCATGATCTAGGGGGTAGATTTAAATATCTCTCTGGCCAATTATTATTTAATAAATAGCATGAAATTACAGAATAGCATCCCATCTTTAAACAGAATTAAATGGCACGTGCACTGATTGTAACACTAAGTTAGTTATTTATTACTCAATATCAACTTAGTCTCTTCAAAATCTCATCCTCCAATTCTAATACACCATTCCATTAAAAGCTTTAATACAATCTTTCCAATCATAAGATTATCATAATCACCATCATGTTTTCTTTTAGCAGTAACATTTCCCAACCATATGACATCAGTAATCCAATTTCTTAGTAGAAATACAAACAAAACGCACAAAAAGGAAAAAAAAAATTAAACAATGTGCATCAAGCAACTATTGATTAACCTTCTCTAGAATTATTTAAACTAATAATCCCAACTTGTAATCAAATACTATCAAAATAAGAATAGACCAGCCCAAATTCACTAATACCACAACCATACACTCAGACACAAAAGATCTTGATCAACACAGATCTTTGAGAAGAACCCCAGATCAAGAATCACATTAAAGCATGCATACAATATATAGAATCATAAAACAATTTATATGCTAGGAATCTGAAGCGGTAATTGAAAAAGGACCTTTCTGAAGTCTTCCGGGGCAACCCCCGGGAGGTAGAAGCCGAAGGCATTGTTTGAACAGAGAAGAACGAAAATGATTGTAAATAGGAAAATTGTACGCTTTGCATGAGATCTAACAGTTTCTCCCATGGCGACGAAGCAACAAATCATTCTTTCAGATCCGGGGGGGAGAGAGAGAGAGAGGGAGTGTGTGTGTGGGTAATAAGTTCGGGCTAAATATGGAAATTAATACATGTTTAATTTTAAATGTTTCATTTAAAGATAACAACGGACGAAGGCGAGAACCGACTGGGTGGATCAAGGCTGGGTGAAGATCGGAAAATTGGTTTCGCTAGATGTACATAAATATTTATATAACGGATTACATAATATGACATGACATTCTATCATTCGTCGGTTTAAAATACGTCAATTTTTTATTCAATATTTTCTCTCCAAGTTATTTTATGTAATTTCTTATGTAACATTTTATTGTATAAGTAGCATAATCCTTATCATAAATCAAATAGAAATTTACAATGTATTATTTTGTATAATGTATACGTATTTATTAAATTTATATTTTCCAAAGTTCAATTAGTACTCATTCATCCACACCTCCTTAGACTTAACATTCAATCGAGTTTTTTCACAGCATTATTTGTATATTTTTTTCATTTCACGTTTTACTCAAAAAAAAAAAAATAATAATAATAATAATAATACATTTTATTATTATTGTTATTATTAACTTAAATAAATTAAATCAATTTAAAATCAATTAAGTTATTTTCAATGAACCTCATCCATTACGCAACCATCATTTTCTCTCTCTTTGATCCTCAGCCTCAACCATTAACAACCTCACAGATGTGAAAAGTTCGATTGGATGAGAATTCCTTTGTTCCTGTCCGATTCTCATTTTGAGTAGTCCTCTCTTTGGAATTGGCCTTCTTCTCTTATAATTATTGTTAAATGCAGAAACAGCATCATATACGATATTTCCCATTTTCCAAAGTGGTAATTGGGTCAAATAGGCGGTTTCATAATATAAATTGGAACTTTAGCCTTTGACCAAAATTATATTTTGAAAATAAATATTTTATATCATAATTTTTAAACTACCTAATCTAACCTCATTCAACAAGTTCCCATTTTCTCATATCAATTGAATCCCCAAAACCCTAT